TCGGGGTCGTTCGATATCCAGGAACGCATTACAAAACCACCGTGCCTATGGACCTTTACAATGTCAGCCGCTACGCTCGCAGCTTCAGGGACGCTTGAGAAACTTCCCAGGTAATCGTCCATATAATGGTCATATATAACAGCCTTACAAGCGGATGGGTATGAAGACTCCAGCTCCTTCGCGTTTTTGTTTTTCAAGTATTGAGCCATAAAGGGGCTGGAGACAGCACCGAAAATTATGGATGCCATACGATATTCGCAAATAGAGCCATTTTCGTCTCTCCACAAAAAACGTTGGGCGTCTCTGTCCTTGGGGGCGATTCGGACCTGAGGAAACATTTCTTTAATGTCTGCGTTAAGTGCCACGGGACCTTCCCTAAAACGAAACAAAATGCCAAGCAACGGCTGAAGAAGATCTGGGCCTTGTAGCAGAAGACTATTAAGGCTCACCCCTTGAGTACTCGCTGCCGCGTCGTGAACTGCTCTTAGTTTTCGTTTTTGAGGATGATAGACACCGAATATGGGGAGATACCAACGAATGGGGCCGCTTGACCCCACAACAGAATCACTAACTGGGATACAACTGTGGAAAGTAGTGGGGTCACATTTTTCAGCGTAGCCCTTACTTATTATGTCGTTTATAAAAAACTGAAACGCCGAGGCGAAGTTCGGGTCGCGCGTCATCTGTCGCTCCAAAGCTTTGAAACGGGATAACGCCTGCGAGTAACTGTCGGGAATTACCGCAGGTAAGTTCTTTCGCCATGGCAAACCTACTTCAAAACGACCATCCTCAAGCCTGCGGACCGAAGATTCGATCATGTCTACGGCGCGCCTATCTTGTTCGTTGGGCTGTTGGTCACGTTTACTAATCCCGATAGAGTCGATTTCGAATTGTGACCTAATAAGACTGTTTAGGTCATCGTTCATATGATTAACAAATAAAGGTGGTTTCGATGAAACCGAATATGCGCCATGAAGTACCCACCCTAACAATGTTTTTGAGGCAACCGGTTCGTTTTTCTTGCCTACTCTCACCTCGCGGCTTAAGGATAGATTCCAATCCGCGGCGCCTATTAGAATGGTTGGAGCAGATTGGTCGGTAGCGTTGCCAACCGAAAGCTCATCGGCAATGTCAGCTAAATGTTCGTAACGAGTCAAGTCTACGTCAGGAAGGCTCTGCACTCGCAAACCAAGTGGAGTGATAGAGCGCGCGTTCTCAATTAGATATTTGTTGCTTGTGTTACGTCCTCTAATATTGGGATCTGACAAAATTCGTGAGACACCTGGTGTTCAATTTTGGAACTAATACCGGGGTGCATCGCTCATCAAAACACATAAGTTATCATTAGTGTCATTAGTACTTTTGAGAAATTAAACAAAAAATGACGGAAGAATTAGGAATATTTAACCCTCGCAAGATTTCTAAAAAAAGAATAAAGTGTTGTGTGTATGGATGTGGAAGCAGTTTTCAAAAAAACCGTGAATTAACGTTTCATAAGTTTCCTAAAAAAAATGCGCGTTGTGTTTACATCAAAAATTATTTTGGTCAAATGGAAAAAGTGGACCAATTCACAGCATGGAAGAACGCTTTGAAGATTGACTGTAAAATAAATCCTCACATGAAAGTGTGTTCATTGCATTTTCTGAAAGACGACTATATATTACCAGGTGAGTCAAATTCGTTTTTTGAGGTTAAGCATGTGTGAAGTAGCATTTTACAAGATCTCATTATTATTCCACTAAGAAAAGAATGGGACGGCAACAACATTAAAATGAAAGAGTTTCCTTGGTTTAGTTACCACAATTCAATAAATGTTTGTGTATACCACAATTCAATAAATGTTTCGCAGCTACCAGTCGTTCACCCTCTCGAAAATTGCGATTACTGGGCGTTGAACCGGACCATTCACAAATATCATTAATTGTTAAGACTATCATTATCTACCACTAATATTGATATTTAACTATTTTACGGTATTTCATCACGGTTTGACTAGGCAAATGCACCCCCGTCGGCGCCATATTGAATAGGCCACGCCTCCATGTCAGATCCCAATAGAAGTTTACGTAGTTCACGTCAACTGTCATGATCATGCCGCCTACACCCTCAATACGGACACTTTCCTTATTTCGACGTTCGGCGCCAATGCGCGTCGCCACCTCGCCATCGATCAACGTCGCCGTGCTGCCTTCGTCGAGCAGCGCCGTGGTTTTGTACTCGCCGTCTGGACCCTCGACGACAACTGGGATCTTCAACAAACCACGAGGACGGGACTGCCACTGGGACGAACCTATAGTAGAGACGGCAATGTTAGTCATGATCGAAGCGACACCGTTCGTATCGTCGCCGATCGCATTTGCGATCGTTGGGTGTAAGTTCGTATTTGTTGTTGAAATGGGTGATGGTGTTCCATGAAGTAGGTGATGATGACGTCGTAAGCAACCACTTAGTCCACAACGTTTTGCGCGGCAGTTTCTCCACCTGTGGGAACCAGATTTTAGGCAGCGAAAACATGTCTTGGATTCCCGAACCCACTGCCACCTTTTCTCTCCACAGATAACTCTAAAAACCCCTTACAAGTTTTTATGTCGTGTGGAGGGTCCACCCGCTTGCAATAGTTGCACTTCAACTCACCTTTGTTAGAAAAAGTCACATGTACCGATTCCCTTTTCAACGGTTTACTCGAAATGCCTATGGGAACATGGTCGTAAAAATAATTAAATTTTAATTGTTGGTCTGCCTCAACCAGCAGAAAACGAGACAGTAACTCAAATTTCGACATGTTTTCGTTGCTAGGCGAATGTGAAGCGGCAAAATCGGTGAAGCGAGCCCTGGTATGTTCATTGAGCTTCAGGGCCACAGAGCGAAAAAGCTCTGGTGAGTGTAGGTGATCGGTTTGATTCAATTGTTTGACGGTCACAATGAAATTACGAACTTTATTAGACATAGTGTTAAGGTCGTGTGGAGTATTAATCTTAGCGATACTGTGGAGATCCGCGAGCTCGCGGGCTACCAGGAGCTCGGGCCGGGCGAAGTTTTGTTCTAGGGCGCGCATAACATCTTCAGGCTCGCACGCTGTCCACAGAAGGGACGCCACGGACTGGTACGCTGCTCCACGAATCGCTTGATTAAGACGTTCTAAATTTTCTGTGGGTGAAAATAAACCTTTAGTACGTTCAAAGCTTGACTTAAAAGCCATCCATTGGCTAACTTCGCCAGAGAAGACCATGAGGTCTGGTCTCTTGGGGCGAGTAGATAAGTTAGAAATGTCATTAATGTTTGGTATTGGGTACTTATCGTCTATAGTTTTTTCATTGACTTTTCGGAAGTCGACTACAAGTCTCCACTTTTGCTTACCCGAAGCATCTAATTTTTTTGGGACTACCCATATTGGTGAGCTCCATGCTGAGTCAGATGGTCTAATTATACCTTGCTCCAGCATTTTATCTATTTGATCGCGAACTTCTTGTCGGTGGATAAATGGTGATAACTACGTGCGATGTGGACTGTATGATGTGGTAGACTTGGTATATGATGAAAACACGGTCTTCTCAAGTTCACAGTTTATTCGCAACTAAGCCCTGACATAAGTACTGTGCTATCAAAATACACGTCATATCAAAAGAATATAAAATACAAAGATAAAGTTCTATAAAAGAGAACGGCCAACACCAGCCAGTCGCCAACAAATGGGTACCGATAAGTTTTTGTGTGGACTGGGATTTCGTCAGTTTTTCTTATTTGATGTTTGATTTTATTGGTAAAGGTTAGTGCTTCGTCTTCTACGTAAAACACGTCAGAATAACGAGAGCAAAGAGCTACGAGGTTAGCTTTTTCCTCGGCATTTAAATGTTCAGTTCGAAGTCGCGAGATTACATCTTCAGTTCGAGATCGAGGTCGTTTAGTTTGTTCAAAATTAGTATTATATAACTCTGCGTGAGCTGGCCGATCTAATGAAAAGATTATATCGTTTACAGTAGGGTTTTCAATCTCTAAGTAAGCACGGTTATTAACTACTGTAGTAAGGCAATCGTGAATGATACAATTACATATTATCTGTTCCTTAATATAAACTTCGCTATCCTGGGTATCTATAGAAACTCTAATTAACTTCGAAGACTGTGCGGGAATAATATCTTCATAAAGATTAACATTGTAAGAATTGTACATTCTAACAGTAGCTACACGAAAGTGTAGCTACTGTTAGTAGCTACACTTGATGTCATCAGGCAACCCCACTTTTCACACACTGAAAAGTGGGGTTGCCTGATGACATCATTATCAAATTTAAATCAGCTAATAAATCTGTATCTATATCCCTATATAAGTCTACAGCGTGTTGGCGAACCTGTTGCGATACAGGTTGCCGAACTCTTAAACTCTTAGGATGAAAAATTTTTACGTCTTTTAAAAACTAGGAATAATGGAATAAGGAAAAGCAACACGAGAAAAATTCAAGTGTACTTACATGTACAGCATAACTGGTTTTCCCTCTGGAATCGATATTTGGATTCTCCTCTGGTCTGCAGCAAGTCCGTAGGATTCAGGATCCTCGGCCAACGGGGCTAGGAAGCCGCCCGAGCGACTCGCGATCGCGGAATTGCTATACAGATCCCTAATTATTCGCGAATCGGCCGCGAGGATCCTACCGACTGCACCAATTATGTTTGTTACAGCCGGAGGATCGAAAAAAAACAATTATTTTTATATGAGTTTAATAGAAAGGAAAAATTTACATGTCAAAATTACGTCTAAATAACCTAATGATCGGTTCGAGGTCGGAACCAGAATGCCTTCGAAATATTAATTAATTGAACAGTATAGGAATGCAGCGTCGGCAACTCGTGGCAGCTTGGCCTTGGTGTCGGTGCATCGTCATAAGCCGCGGTTGCTACGTAAACGATCTTCCTTCCGTCCATTTACGTAATTGGCTAATTGGTGTGAGTGTTGGAAATATTTATTATTATTTATTTATTATTATATACATTCTCTGGGCGCAGACACCAGGTGGCGTCGTGCGCGCTGGTGCTGGACAACGCGGTGCACGTGTGGGACGTGCGCCGCCCGCACGTGCCCCTCGCTACCTTCGCGGAGCACCGGGACGTCACCACCGCCATAGCCTGGCTGGGCACGCCGCACAGCTTCCTGTCCACCAGCAGGGTGAGTATATATATATATATATACAACGCGGGGCACGTGTGGGACGTGCGCTACTCCTATTCCCTCTCCCAGTTTTTTACAAGGTAAAGAATTCTTATCTTTGCAGCCTTGTCCGGAGAAGATGACTTTCCGCCCGAGTATTTTGTTGTGCTTTACCTTCCTAATATAGTACGAAGAGGATTTTTATGACTGTGATGAAAATTGGAACTAACGCCGCCGCCGCCGTCTTTGTAAACTTCATATTTTGTATGTCATTTGCGTTGACGGTTGCGCCCTTCTGAACTGTCACTCATATCCGCAAATGTCCTAGTCGCAATCTTAGTTGCTTTTTTTAGTATTTAAAAAATAATATTAAAAAATAAGTACTAATTATTACACAGAGAAAGTTACTGTTAATTTATCTAAATTACCGTGTAATGAGAAGAGGCTTATGTTATTCTATAATTTTGGTTGGATTAATTATGAATTACAGCATGTTATCATATCTATTTCTAAACTATTATTTGTGGATTAGCTCACCAAATATGATGATATTGAGCGGTGAAAAAATAAGTACTTATAGCTATTGGTTATCTTATCTATTCTTAAACAATAAGTATTTTTTTCTGAATCATAATTTAATATTCTCAACATTATTTATCAAAAAGTCAAAGAGAGACATATCACTTTACTATTTTGTTTTTATTGTGGCAAGGAATGTATTTATTTTGTTTTCACTGCTAATAATTAGTATTTTGTGGCAGTTTCCAGTGACACTGTACAGTGTAATCATGCACAAAAGGAAGTATCAATGTACTAACGAGTTTATAACCCTTATTGTTAAAACTTTTATACCAAAGAACAATAAAGTCAAGTTAAGGTATCAAATTCTAAATGTTTCATTATTTTACTATTATAACTGATATGGCTAATAACAGGCATGATAAAGCAAACCTACACATTTACTACCAGAATGTTCGTGGTTTACGTTCAAAAACTTTAAAGTTGTTTAACAATACACTAGCTAATGACTATGACATCTTATCATTCACTGAGACATGGCTCCAGGACGACGTAATGAACACGGAATTATGTGACGCTAGGTACGATGTGTTTCGTCATGATCGCAACTTGCAGGTAACTGGGAAACAAACGGGAGGCGGTGTGATGCTTTGCGCCCGGCGTGAACTAGAGGCATCCTTGTCTAACGAGTGGCACGGAGCCGCAGCAACTGAGTCATTATGCATATCTATACCGGCTCACGTAATTGGTTCGTCACATAATTTGCATGTTATTTTAATTTACATTCCCCCGGATTTAAACTTTTTTTCTAATCGATTAACTCAAACTGCAAATAGCATACAACACATTACTGAAATGTATCCCTCAGATAGAATCATTATTTTGGGCGATTTTAACTTACCTTGCATAAGTTGGAATAATAATAACGATTATATAACTACTGGTACAAGTTCTAGGATTCTTAAAGACTGTGCAAATACGTTTGTTGATCATTTATATTTCCTTGATTTTTTACAGTATAACTTAGTCGTTAATAAGACGGGGAAAGTTCTGGACTTATGTTTTAGTTATACCCCCTGTAAACTCTTGCAAAAGTCACCCAAATATTTTTGGAACTATATCAAAGGTAAAAGGAATACCAGTAGTTACCCTAAAACTTTTTCACACTCCAATAACTTTTATTCTAGTGGTGAAGATATATGCAGGGCCTTCAGTGAGTTTTTTGAGAGCGTTTTTGTGAATTCAACTGAGTCACATCCTCCACTGCCGGAGGGAATTCCTTGTAGCGAGGAGCATCTTGCCCGGATCCATATAGACGAGGACCGAGTACTAAAGCTTCTGCAGTCTTTGGACGCAACTAAAGCTGCTGGATGTGATGGCGTGCCCCCAGTACTGCTGGCATCTTGTGCGAAAAGTCTTTCGGCTCCTATCACCATGTTGTTTAATAGATCGCTTAAAGAGTGTGTTTTCCCTGATGTTTGGAAGCAGGCCAGAATCGTGCCAGTGCATAAGAAGGGGTCTAAGTCACTCATAGAGAACTATCGGCCAATTTCGATCCTCAATACGGTAAGTAAATTATTCGAGAAGGTAGTTCTTGAGCAAATTTACTCCACCATTGCTAAAGGTATTCCGCAGAATCAACATGGATTTTTGAGACGCCGCTCTACTGTATCGAACCTAACACTGTTTTCAAATTATGTTCTTAATGGAATGGAGAAGGGTGGACAAGTTGACGTAATTTACACGGACTTTGAAAAAGCGTTTGACCGCGTAGACCACGGTATCCTCATCCATAAACTTCAATGCCTCGGTATTCATGGTGATTTATTACGCTGGGTCCAATCATACTTAACTAAAAGGTCTCAGATGGTCGTTCTTGGTGGATACAGATCTGACTTTGTCACTGTCCCTTCTGGAGTTCCACAGGGCTCGCATCTCGGTCCTCTGTTTTATAATGCGTATATCCACGACATAGATAAGGTAATCAAGAACTCAAACCATCTTCTGTATGCTGACGATAAAAAGATATTCATGAGTGTGCGCGATGTTGCTGATTGCCAAAAGTTGCAGGACGATCTAAATAATCTTTTCTATTATTATAACAAAAATAATATAAAAATAAGTATTAGTAAATGTCAATGCATAAGTTTTACCCGTAAACCTAATCCTATAGTGTTTCCTTACAATTTCAATAATGTAACGATTGTGAGATCTGATGTGGTCCGTGATCTAGGAGTGTACTTTGACAGTAAAATGGTAATGTCTACACATATAGACACTATAGTGGGGAGGGCCTATCGCAACCTTGGTTTTGTTATGCGTACATGTCGTCCTTTTAATAGTCCCTTAAGTCTAAAAATAGTCTATTATGCATACGTGCGTAGTCTCTTAGAATATGCGGCCCCAATATGGGGCCCGTGTTACAATATTTACATTAATCGTATCGAAGGCATACAGAAGAAATTTGCACGCCACTTGAATTTTAGATTTCGGAAAATTCGTGTTAAATCGACGTACGAGGAAATTTGCCGAGCGCACGACTTGCTTACCCTGGAGGAGCGTCGTGAGGTCCTTGATATGGGTCTGCTGCATGATATCGTTGGTGGTGGCTTTGATTGTCCAGAACTGCTTAAACTAATATTTTATAATACACTTCCTCGTCGTACCAGGTCTTCCAATTTGTTATATGTCCCACATCATTATACTAAATATGGTCAAAATGCTGTGCTTTCTCGTCTACCAAAAATCTATAACGTGAAATTTGGTGAAGCCGATCCTTTTGTTGGTTCAAAAAAACAATTTCTGAATAAAGTGAAACAATTACTATTTAAGAACTTCCAAACAGCAACATCCTCATAATCGTGGGTTTATGATCGTGAATTATAGAACCCTCATATTGTAAACATTAAAAATATTTATATTTCACATATTGTATTATGGTTATTCAGTCCCCACTTAAAATATATAAATATGTATTGTATGTGTATATACCTGAATGTATATATATGTATGTATGTATATATGGGTAAAGAAAAAATATATATATATATATTAGGTTCTTAATGTACACCTATATTTTCCCCTGAGAACAAAACAGATAGGGTCTGTATTATTATAATTTTGGAGTTTTCTTTTTTTTTTTTTTTTTTTCACTAAGTTAGCAACTGTCAGCATCTCATATTTTCTTTTGTAACCACGTCTGTTCGTTTTAAAACCTTATTGTAATCTGTGGATAGTCGTAATTGGCTTTCAAATTATATATCATTGATTGTAATTCCAATATACATATAAGCTGTGTACTGTCCCTTAAATAAATAAATAAATAAATAAATAATATTTTCTGTTTTTATGTGTGACTCAGTCAGAGATATAGGTACTTATCTGTCTATGCCTATATATATATATATACAACGCGGTGACCATGAAAGTTTAAAACAATGATTTATTTCCGGTTGAAGCGTTACTGGTAGTTTTATCGGGTAGTTTGACATGCATGGTCTATCTCACCGTTCACATTTGTTTTGTGTATAGTAGTGTGACGAGTATCGGATGGTAGTAGTATAAGCCTTGTGGTCCCTTAGGACTGCAGCCTGTACCGGCACCGGTTCCGGTCGGCGGCGCACCCGGTGCTGTGGGCCAACCCCCACGCGCTCAGCATCTCCCCGCGCGGGGACGTGGCCCACGCCGCCCCCGAGCGACCGCTGCCCGCCCTGCCCACCGCGCCGCCCCGCCCCGACCCCGCCCTGCCAGCGTCGACCGCCCCGCCCGCCCTGGGGTACGCATACCGCTCATTGTCATGACCCACACAGCACGCGCTCAGCATCTCCCCGCGCGGGGACGTGGCCCACGCCGCCCCCGAGCGACCGCTGCCCGCCCTGCCCACCGCGCCGCCCCGCCCCGACCCCGCCCTGCCAGCGTCGACCGCCCCGCCCGCCCTGGGGTACGCATACCGCTCATTGTCATGACCCACACAGCACGCGCTCAGCATCTCCCCGCGCGGGGACGTGGCCCACGCCGCCCCCGAGCGACCGCTGCCCGCCCTGCCCACCGCGCCGCCCCGCCCCGACCCCGCCCTGCCAGCGTCGACCGCCCCGCCCGCCCTGGGGTACGCATACCGCTCATTGTCATGACCCACACAGCACGCGCTCAGCATCTCACCGCGCGGGGACGTGGCCCACGCCGCCCCCGAGCGACCGCTGCCCGCCCTGCCCACCGCGCCGCCCCGCCCCGACCCCGCCCTGCCAGCGTCGACCGCCCCGCCCGCCCTGGGGTACGCATACCGCTCATTGTCATGACCCACACAGCACGCGCTCAGCATCTCCCCGCGCGGGGACGTGGCCCACGCCGCCCCCGAGCGACCGCTGCCCGCCCTGCCCACCGCGCCGCCCCGCCCCGACCCCGCCCTGCCAGCGTCGACCGCCCCGCCCGCCCTGGGGTACGCATACCGCTCATTGTCATGACCCACACAGCACGCGCTCAGCATCTCCCCGCGCGGGGACGTGGCCCACGCCGCCCCCGAGCGACCGCTGCCCGCCCTGCCCACCGCGCCGCCCCGCCCCGACCCCGCCCTGCCAGCGTCGACCGCCCCGCCCGCCCTGGGGTACGCATACCGCTCATTGTCATGACCCACACAGCACGCGCTCAGCATCTCCCCGCGCGGGGACGTGGCCCACGCCGCCCCCGAGCGACCGCTGCCCGCCCTGCCCACCGCGCCGCCCCGCCCCGACCCCGCCCTGCCAGCGTCGACCGCCCCGCCCGCCCTGGGGTACGCATACCGCTCATTGTCATGACCCACACAGCACGCGCTCAGCATCTCCCCGCGCGGGGACGTGGCCCACGCCGCCCCCGAGCGACCGCTGCCCGCCCTGCCCACCGCGCCGCCCCGCCCCGACCCCGCCCTGCCAGCGTCGACCGCCCCGCCCGCCCTGGGGTACGCATACCGCTCATTGTCATGACCCACACAGCACGCGCTCAGCATCTCCCCGCGCGGGGACGTGGCCCACGCCGCCCCCGAGCGACCGCTGCCCGCCCTGCCCACCGCGCCGCCCCGCCCCGACCCCGCCCTGCCAGCGTCGACCGCCCCGCCCGCCCTGGGGTACGCATACCGCTCATTGTCATCACACATCCCACACTTTTGTTCATTTATTTTCAAACTTAACCGCTCATTCCCATAACACATTAAAAACGTAACTTCATCCGGTAAATCTTAAGCTTATTACAGAATTTCACGACATGATCTGACCATATTACAAAATAATCGTTGTATAAATATATTGAAGTGTAATGTAACGTTAACATTGAATACGATTTTTTTAAGATTTTCTTAAGACCTTTTTCATCGGTCGAAATGAGAACAGAAAAAGAACGAGAACAAGACGGTAACGAAAACGCTCATGCCTTACTCATTTGTTTTTTTCTAAAACAATCTTTAATAATACTTACAACGCAACGTGCTAACCAGCTGCGCCGTTGAGCTCCTCATTATTTATTTATTAAAAGCTAATTTACACATTCATCGTGCTAAGAAATTACAATAGAAACAAAAACACCTTACTTTAAAGCACCACGGTCTTTAGTCAGTCAAAACGATTATTAATTATGAACTAGAAATCAAACTGTTCATTTGTCAAAGATATGCTTAAATTATGATTTGATATTTAAAGAAAGGATTTTGCGTAACATATGATTATAATTATTCCGTTAAAACTATTGAGTCTCATGTATTGAATTCTGAGTGCGGCGACATATTTTATTGGAGTTTACTCCTTAAGAATCGATTTGCATATATAAGGGGCCCGGTACGAGAATAATGTGAGGAGTAAAATCTATGGATTAATGAGCTCGTTACGTTTTTATTGTCTACGCTGTAGCAGCCGTAGTGCTACACCGTAGCACAGTATCGTAGCGTACCTTTATTGCCTACGACGACAAAGAAACCGCGTCGGTGTACCACCGCGCCATTCGTTGAACACAAAACCATTGAGCTTTAGAAGTAAACGTGGATATGGCATTTACAGTATCAATCCTTTTTAAGTTAAATAAACTCTTTTTGCGTCTGGTTAGACTATCGAATTTAAGGAGTAAACTCCAGTCGTGCGTCGGAGCTGACACACACAATTTTTGAAGTTATACTTCTTTAGGCGCGTTATGAAAAAATGATGAGAGTGAAATTTTTAGATGCGCGCGCATCACTGTAACCCAAAAGTAACAGCATGAAGTTGGCCGCGGGCGCGTTATGAAAAAATCATGTGAGTGAAATTTCGAGATGCGCGCGCATCACTGTAACACAATAGTAACACTATGAAGTTGGCCGCGGGCGCGTTATGACTGTTAGTGTTATGAACTAAGTGGTTAATAATCCACCATTATTAGACATCTGTTCGAAAGGTACTTTGAACGATCCACGGAGCTCCATAAGATGATCGCGTTGTCAAAAACAATGTTGGCACGCTCGTCGCCTCTGACCACTGTTTTCATATTTATAATATTTATCCACATGTTTCTAGTTTCTATATAGACACAACGTGTTTTAGTTACTTACAAGTGCTAATTACATATGGACTAATAACTTAAATTCAGTAGTGATTTTAATTGAATATTTTGAATATTTATTTAATTTTTCAAATTAAAACTGAACTTAATTGACTGTGTTAACTATCCTTTTCCAGTCCTTTGATTATTTTATCGTAATTATTAATTATTTGCATGCAATTAAAAAATATTTTTAATGATGCTAAAGAAGTATAACTTCTCACGCGCGTACATAAGTTACACGCATCCATTTTTTTTTGTCATTTTATATACAGACGGAAACAACCAACAGCCGGGTCTCTAAGCGCCTCTTCGCAAGCGGCACTGGAACGTGCCTTCCCCGGGGGAGCTTCATCCGTACTCACACGGTACAAGATGAAGCTGGAGCCTATAGAGCACAGCGACGGTGAGAGGGAGACAGAATACATGGGGCAGGGGGAGAGAGTGAGAGAAACTTACGTGGATAAGCGGGCCATAGCTTTAGTGGGGTGCGCGAAAGAGTACAGGATAAAGGGCGCGCCGCCTCACGAATTGGCGGAACACAACGCTAAAGTAGCCACCTCATACAATAGACATATGGTAAGTTTTTTTTAAAGACTAGGGGTGATGACGGGGTACAGTAAACGATATTCTACTTAGTCCGTCAGTTAGATGATCAAAAAATAATGGACACGTATTTTTTCTTTGGGCAATCAACCAAAAAATGACAAAGTTAAAGCGCGTCAAAGTTTGGGAGTAGGGGCTCGTGACGTCACTTTTGAGTGAATTTTCACTTATAAGTGTACTCAAACGTGATGTCATGCGACTTTTCAAATCAATATATCTCTGCAATGTGTATATTATGTGAAAAAAGAAAAAATACGTGCCCAATACTTTTTGATAATCTACCTGATAAAAGAGGAAAAAAAAAGTCATCATCCCTATTTCATGTTAACTTTGTTTTATTTTTTATTTGCGCTTATTAAACTTCGAAAAATAACTATGTAATTTATTAGATAACAATTTAAATAACAACAGATCTCGACAGTCATCCTTAAGTTGTGTTAGTATTGAGTAAATTTATTAAAAGTAATTTAACTATGCAAGTTATAAAACTAAAAATTTATTCTTTAACTTCAAAATTATTTAATGTATGGCAAAAGTTCGTTTTTTTGTATTAATCAATGTTAGTTTTTCTGTCTTTTAATCGCTTGTGTAACTTATGTAATACCTATAGGTATCGGCTGCTATATCTCTCTTCCTAGAGGATAGGGTATTTGACAGTATTAAAAATAAAGTGACAATTGTTAGCATCTGTGTTTAGAATGAATATTGGCAGGGTTTTTACTATTTTTACAACAAAAAATATTTATAATTTCACTAAAAACCCACGAAAAAGATAATACTTTTCTTATCTATTGTCACGGGACCCAAAACGCTTGGGATTGGCGGAGCCTAAAATGACGTCATACGCAAGTAAACTTCCGGTTGAAGAGACATATTGTATCTGTTCACTCGTTCGATGTGTGTAAATAAAACTCAATGTAACTGCTTCTAAAAATTCTCTCTTTATTGTACTTATTAAAGTTACTATATAATTTTAATATGCATTAAACGCTACCGCGATTGGATTGGAAAAATGTCCCCATCTATTGATCATTCATGTAAACATTCCTTGATACTATAGATACTCTCGGTGCTCAAATCCATAGCGCGATTCAGACAACTACAATGCCATCTAACCTTTGATTTGTGGTACTATAATTCTAGACATTCCGCCCACCAAAGACTCTGTCTTTTGATAACATTATAACAAAATGAAAAAAAAGCAGTATCTCTAATTACTTTGCTATAAACAAACAAAATAAGAAAATTTTGAGCACCGCCCACCATAAACATCTCTATTACAAACCAAATTCTATAAGGAAACTAATTTTTAAATAAGAAACACAATCTGTTACATGCACGTTTAAATATTCCATTCTTTGTTTTTAGTGTGACTACTCTAGTCACTCCATCCTTCCCTGTGTGCTTTTCTAAGACTCTGCCCAACAACCACTTGGCTGGTGGCATATTTTCTTCCCTTATGATCACTATGTCATCTAAAGCTGGTTCTTGTTCACGTTTTGTCCATTTGAAGCGTTGTTGTAATGAAGTCAGGTACTCGTCAGACCACTTTCGCCAAAAATCATTTACCATTTTTTGGCTCATTCTCCATCTTGACATTCCAGTACAAGAACTTTGTGAGAAATCTTCATCTGGTATCACTATAAGAGGCTCTCCTACCAAGAAATGGCCAGGTGTAAGCGGCAAAGGATCATCCGGATTATCACTAAGGTGCGTCAAAGGGCGTGAATTTAAACACGCTTCGATTTGAGAAAGCACTGCTGATAATTCCTCGTAGGTTAGTGTAGATTCGCCAATAACTCTCTTCAAATGTGACTTGGCTGAACGAACACCCGCTTCCCATAAGCCACCAAAGTTTGGGGCGTGTGGTGGGATGTAATGCCAATTTGTGCCTTCGCAGTCTAGTAACTGTCTTACATCATTTTGAAAGTCAGATTTGGCTTTAGAAAACATACGCTGAAGTTCTTTATCTGCTCCAACGAAATTAGTAGCGTTATCGCTATATAGATCCTGACAAGCACCTCTCCTCGACACGAATCTGCGGAATGCCGCGATAAAGCCTTGGGCAGTAAGGTCTGACACGGCCTCTAAATGTATGGCACGAGTAACCATACATATAAATAGACAGACGTATCCCTTATAGGATTTTGATCCCCTGCCTGGCGAAAATCTCAAATTTATAAATCCCATAAAATCTACTCCGGCACTCTTAAAAGCCTTTGACGGCTTAAGTCTCACTTCTGGTAACTGTCCCATCATTGGATTATGTTTCTGTTTGGAGTAACGTCTGCAGATTATGCATTCTCTGTAGACTCTTTTCGTTAAAGCTCTTGCTCTTATAATCCAATATTTGGATCGCAAATAATTCTGCATTAGTTGTGGCCCACCATGAAGACTTCTTATGTGTGCATCCATCACAATTAATTTAGTCAAATGACTAACACTCGGTAAAATGACTGGATGTCGTTTGTCAAACTGTATGGTGGCCTTATCGATTCGTCCACCTACTCTTAAAACTCCATTCTTATCCAGAATTGGGTCAAGAGAGTGGAGGATACTCTTTTTAGGAATGCTCTTTTGTAACTTTAGCAATTCAATTTCATTCGAAAAGTACAACCCTTGGGTTTCTCTTATACAGTGTTCCAAAACTCTATTTCTTTCTTCAGTCGTCACAATTCTGTTCAACCTGGTTCGTTGCGCCCTTGGTAATTTCAAATCTAAAAGTTTTCGACAGTAAGATAAAGTATAAAGCATTTTAGTTAGTGATGAAAATCTAGTCCAAATAAACGTTTCTTTAATTTCAATTAGATTAGCAAAAGTATTTATTCGACTCTCTTCTTCAGTATCAAATTCTTCATTAACTCTGTGTAAATCATGTTCCAACAGCCATGATGGCCCATGCCACCACAACGGATGATCCCTAAGCTCAGAACAACTCACACCTCTCGAGGCACAGTCAGCTGGGTTGTCATTGGTTCGGACGTAACTCCATTGTTCTGGGTCTAGCATGGTCCAAGCCAAGACAACTTTTGAATCAGACCAAGCATGCAATCGATCTTTGGGGACTAACATTACTTGAGAAACTTCAAATAATAATTTTGCTGCCAAGAGGGCACCGCAAAGTTCCAATCTGGGAACTGATATCTCCTTTTCAATGGGTGCTACTTTAGTTTTGGCAGTTATCAACGATACATGAATAGTACTCTCGGAAACAACTCTCATATAAACTACAGCACCATATGCTGTCTGTGATGCATCGGCGTAGGCATGCAATTCGATAACACTATCTCTATTCGTATTTAACCATCTTGGTATCTCTATGCCTTTTGCTCTCTTCAAATCCTCCTTAAACGCTAGCCACTCTTTTAACAAATTAGAATGTAATGGTTCGTCCCAATCTAAGCCAGACTTCCATAACTTCTGAATATATACTTTCGCAGTAATAATAATCGGGGCTATCCAACCCATTGGATCGTAAAATCTTGCTATAATAGAAAGCACGTTTCTTTTAGTGACAGGCTGTTTGTCCTCTGGTATTTGCAAAGTATATTCAAAGTTGTCTGTAGATTTATTCCAACATATCCCCAAAACCTTAACCATATTGTTGGATTTGAAAATCATTGGCTGATTCGTGCCTTTGTTTTCTTCTCTTATATGGTCAAGTAACTTCTCGTTATTACTGCACCATTTTTGAATTTGAAATCCTCCGGCTCTCATCATACTTTTAAGTTGCTCGTAAATCTCAATCGCGTCAGATTCTGCCTCACATCCGGTTAAAAGGTCATCCATGTAAAAATCATTAATCGTTATCTCTGATGCAACTGGATATCGTGCCTGCTCGTCTCTCGCAAGTTGCTGTAATGACCTGACCGCTAAGTACGGTGCACAGGCAGTTCCAAACGTTAATCGCATCATTTGATAATGTTGCATATGTTCGAGTGGGCTTGATCGCCACAAAAAGCGTTGATAGTCTACATGTTTTTCATGAACACGAACTTGTCTGTACATTTGAACTAAATCAGCAACAATACATATAGGATGTTTACGCCATCTGAAGAGGATATGACGTAAGTCTTGCTGTATTTTGGGACCCACCATCAATTCATCATTTAAAGATACGGAATTCATCCCCTTACAAGAGGCATCAAATACAGGGCGTACTTTTGTCGTTTCCCTCTCTTCTCTGATTACAGCGTGATGTGGGAGATAGACAGCATTAGAATTCTCAATCTCTTCACGACTACATATTTGTCTCGCATGGTTTTGTTTTATGTAGTCCTCTATTGCATCCTTGTATTGCTGTTGAAGAGAAGTATCTTTAGACAACTTCTTCTCTAGTAGCATAAACCTCTTATTGGCAATTTCTTTTGATCGTCCGTTAACACAATCGAGATTATCTGTTTTGAATGGAAGACACACAATATATCGTCCGCTTTCATCCCTCTTTGTTGTTTTCTGGAATAAATCCTCGCACGCTCTTTCCTCATTACTCATTTTCTTTTGAATGCAATCTGGTTCTATCTCAATTTCCCAAAATGCCTTCAGTAGTTTCTCAGTTTGATATGAAGTATGTAAACTTATCATCTTTCGTTCTGGTAAAGATTGCTGGTTCGCTATTCTCCCCGACAATACCCACCCAAGCTGAGTGTTTTGTGCTATAGGGTTTCCATATATTGGATGCTTAATTACTCCTGCCAACAATATCTCACTATGTATTTCTACTCCCAACAAAAGATCTATTTTTCTCGGATATCCATACTCAGAATCGGCTAGTGTCATACTCTCTATTTCAGGCCAATCTGTCACTTTTATGTGGTTAGAAGGCAGGAATTTCGTCAAAGTATTTAAAACAAAGGCGTTCACTTGTATGGTAAATGAAGGGTTATGAATCGATTGAACCGTAAATGTTACCATACTCTTTGTTCTCATTTGTCCATCTCCGACTCCAGATATAACGCCATTGACAGATGATT